TGAAGAAGGGTCCCAACGTCAGCTTTCCTGCTCCTCTGATGCTGCCTGGCCTGCTGTGTTCCTCCACATCCACACCTTGTTATCTCAGACTCCAGCATCAGCAGTTCCTACTATCTCCCTGCCACAACTGTGAATAATTCATAAGATTCAAGAGAAAAAAAAAAAATTTTCATGACCTTTTACTTCTCCTTTCTGCATAATTCTGCCCAAAAGGAGAAATTCTCTCAAGGCACACTAAATTGCAAAATGTTCCACAATCAACTTCCAGTGAGAGCTTTAATTATGTTGCAGGAATCAATTACCTGAACCTGGAAATATTGCTTGAAGTAAATTTACAATCCGTCCATCACTTTCCTTCGATTGGCTTCTCATTTCGTATGAGGTACAGAATGTGAATGCATATGCACCAGAACTGTAATGAAAACAAATATCTTTGAATTATCTGCTTTGCAAAATTGTTTTTTTTTTAAAAAAAGAAAAAATCAGTTTGTTACCTCCACTGCCACACACAGAAGTCTTCCAGCAGCAAGAAATGCAGTGATAAGCCATTGTATTGTAAGAGGCATCAAAAATGTTGCTGATAGAATCTGATTATGATAACCATAGAGCCAAATAGGAAGAACGTGTAATCCAAAGATAGCAAATGCTCCTACAGGAGTTTTAAAACCTGAAAAAAGAAAGGTAGGCTATTACCTATTAAGGCAAGATATATTACATGCAAATACAAATTATGCTGAGTAAACTGACTTCACAAATACAAATATTTGACGACCGGAATTCAGTAAAGATCCCAATCAAGGTTTAATTAAAAGACATATCTAAAACAAAGAACGATGCATGTTGGAAATCTGAAACAAAAGCAAATTGTTGGAGAAACTCAGCATATCTATCAGCATCTGTGGAGATAAAGCAAAGTTAATGTTTTGGGTCATGTGACTCTTTAGAACTTTTTGTGGCTGGGAAAAGGTGATTATAATGCTGAAGACTGGTGGGGGACGGAGAGTAAGCGAAAGAGTAAACCAGGAAGAAAGGCTGAGAATAGGGTCCACGAATAGTTAAAAATGGGTTAGCTGTGCTGAAAGCAGCCCATTTGGTGACAAGGCCTGGGATGTGGGAGTAGGTAAAGAACATGAAGAAAGGTGTTCAACAATGAAATTGTTGAATTGGATATGGAGTACTGAAGGCTGCAGGGTCCAGCTTTGCTGGAAGCTTGGGGAAAGATTTTAAACGAAACTGAGGTGGAAACTTTTTCACACAGAGGGTAGTGTTTATATGGAAGTGAACTACCAGAGGAAGTGGTACAAGTCCAACATTTAAAAGACATTTGGATAGGAAAGATGTAGAGGGATATGGGCCAAACGCAGGCAAATGGGACTAGATCAGGTTAGGAAACCTGTTCGGCATGTGCTGCATGATTCTATGACTTGGTCATTTTTATGGACAGAACACAGGTGCTCCCCAAAGTGATCACCCAGTCTGCGTTTTCTCTCCCTGACTTGGGTAAATGTTGTAGAGCAGAGGACCCTAGGAGTGCAAGTACATAATTCTTTGAAAATTCTGCACATATAGACAGGGTGGTTTTAAAAAAGGCTCAGTCCTTGGAGTATTGGAGTTGGGAAGTGATGTTGAGGTTGTACAGGACATTGGTGAGGCATCTTCTGAAATACTATGTTCAGTTCTGGTTGCCCAGTTATAGCAAAGATATTATTAAGCTGGAAAGGGTTCAGAAGCGATTTACCAGTATGTTGCCAGGTATGGAAGGTTTGAGTTATGTAAAAGGCTGGTTAGACTGGGACTTTTTTTTTTCCACTGCAGCATAGGAGGTTGAGAGGCAACCTGATAGAAGTTTACAAAATAATGAGGGGTATAGATAGAGTTAATGATAGTTGTCTTTTCCCTAGGATGAGGGATTTCAAGACTATTTTTAAAAGGTGAGAGGAGAAAGATTTTTAAAAACGGAAATTATTTTTAAAGAGGGTAGTTGCGTGTGGAATAAACTTCCTGAGGAAGTGGTGGATGTGGATAACTATATGAATAGGAGAGGTTTAGAGGGATGCAAGTCAGGAGCAGGCAGGTGAATGTGGTTTAGTCTGGGATTATGTTCAGTATCGACTCGTTTGACCAAAGGGTCTGTTTCCATGCTGTATGACTATGTAGAGGAGACCACATTGTGAGCAGTAAATTCTGTAGACTAGATTGAGTGAAATGCATGTAAATTGCTGCTTCACCAGGAAGGGGTGTCTGGAGCCTTGGATAATGTAGAGGGAGGAAGTAAATGGGAAGGTGTCATAACTTCTGCGGTTGCAGGTGAAAGTGTTTAGGGGTGTTGGGAGTGAAGGAGTGGATCAGGTGTCTCAGGGAATAGTGTCTGTGGAAGGCTGACAAGGGAAGGGGTGAACGTAGGTTTGGTGGTGGCATCCTGTTGGAGCTGGCAGAAATGGCGACTAATGATCTTTCAGATGACAGTGCTGATGGGATAGGAAGTAAGGACCAAACAGACCTTCTCTTTGTTGAGAGGGAATATAAATACTTATTTGTTTTAAAGAAATGTTTTTTCTCTCATTTCTCCAAGATCCGTCTTTCCTTTCCTCATTTTGCTTTCTACACCTGATTTGGCATTTAGTTAACTATTTTAACAGACGCTTTCTTGGTTCAGATTCTGTCTGACTCCCTAATCATTCTAGAATCTAATGGTTTTTGTGAGACTTCTTGTAATTTTATATAAATGATTCGGATGTGAACATAGGAGGTATGGTTAGTAAGTTTGCGGATGACACTTACAAATGGAGGTGTAGTGAATAGCGAAGAATGTTACTTCACAGTACAACGGGATGTTGAACAGATGAGTCAATGGGCCAAGAAGGAGTGGTAGATGGAGTTTTATTTGGATAAATTGAGGTGCTGCATTTTGGAAAGGTAATGCAGGGTAGGACTTATACATTTAATGGTAAGGTCCTGGGGAGTGTTGCTGAACAAAGACCTTGGAGTGCAGGTTTATAGTTCCTTGAAAGTGAAATCAGAGGCAGATAGGATAGTGAAGAAGGCACTTGATATGCTTATTGGTCAGTATATTGAGCAGAGGTGTTGGGAGGTCATGTTGCAGCTGTACACGACCTTGGTTAGGCCACTACTGAAATACTGCATGCAATTTTGGTTTCCCTGCTAATAAAGGAGGATGCTGTGAAACTTGTAAATCTTTTCTGAAATCTTTCAAGGATGTTGCCAGGGTTGAAGGGTTTGAGCTAGAGGGAGAGGCTGGGGCTATTCCCAGCAAGTGTCAGAGGCTGAAGAGTGACCGTATAGACATTCATAAAATCATGAGGGGCATGGATAGGGTAAATAGACAAGAGCATAGATTTAAGGTGAGAGGGCAAAAGATTAAAAAATATGACCTAGGGCAACTTCTTCACGCAGAGGGTGGTGTATGTACACCACGAGCTGCCAGAGGAAGTGGGGGAAGGATGGTACAATTACAACATTTAAAAGGCATCTGGATGGGTATATGAATAAGAAGGGTGAGAGATATGGGCCAAATGGGACTGGATTTATATAGGATATCTGGTCAGCATGGATGAGCTGGACCGAAGGGTCTGTTTCACTGCTGTATATCTATGACTCTTGGGGGTGGTGGGGGGAGGGGGGGGGGTCAAGAGTGCCGAAATCAAACATTTAATTAAAAGCCAAAATAAAATTAAATTGGTGGGAATTCTTGGTTGAGGCCTCCCTGCAGACAGCAGCATCATGAGAATGGAGAATCGGATAGTGTCTTTACAGGAAAGAGGGTGTGAGGATGTACAGTCCAGGTACCTAGGGGAGTTGGTAGGTTTGTAGTGGGAATTGGTGACCCTATCCACAAGAATGGAAACAGATGTCAAAAGGGGTATCATAGATGGACCAGGAGAAGGTGAGGGCAGGGTGGAAACAAGAAGCATAATTGATAAGCTTTTCCAATTCCAGGCACAAGAGGGAAGCAGCACCAATCATGTCATCAACATGCCAAAAGATAGATTTGGAGGAGGGATCTGAGTAGGTTTGGAATAAGGAATGTTCCACTGCGCCACAGAGACAGGCATAACTGCAGCCCATGTGGGTATTTTGACCTGAAGAAAGTGAGAAGAGTTAGAAGAAGGTATTCAAAGTGAGATGAGCTCAGAGGCAGAGGAAGGTGGTGGTGGATGGGACGATTTAGCACCCCCTTGGAAAGAACTGGAAAGCCCCGAGACCATCCTGATGGGGATGGATGTGTAAAAGGGATTGCACATCCATGGTAAAGACGCAGCAGCTGGAGCCTGTGACCTGGAAATTCTGGAACTGTTGAAGTGTCAGAAGAACCACGGAGTGAGCTGGAGGGGACTGGACAAGGGGGTTGGGGGCGGTGGGTGGGGAAAATAAAAGTCAAAAGGTAGGAAGAGATGAGTTTCACGAGTAAGGAACAGGCAGAAACAATGGGCAGACTTGGTTGGGAGCTGGGGTAGGGTAGGCGGTGGCGGTGATGCTTGGAGAGATTTGCGACCATTGTGAACACAACAGCCTAACATTCAATGCTGGGCTCATGGTTCAGCAGAGAAAGGCAGTGTGCCAGCCTCCACGATGACAGTCAGAAGCTTGTTCCTGTGTGCGTGCGCGTGTGGGGAGGGTGAAATAGGAGTTCAAAGAGAGATGAAGGGCAACTTTTATTTTTAATTACAAAAAAAAAGTGGTAGGAGTATGGAATGCGTTGCCAGGGTTTGTGGTGGTGGCAGCAGATACAACAGGGGTGTTTAAGGGATTTGTAGATAAGCACATGAATATGAATGGAATGTAGGGATATGGACCAAAGGCAGGCATATTGGAATTGTTTAATTTGGCGCCATGTTCAGCATAACATCATGGGCCGAAGAGCTTGTTCCTATGCTATACTGTTCTATGTTCTAACACATTTATGGCAACATTCGAACTAAAAACTTACTGGAAGTTTAATAAAGATATCAGCCAGTCCAATTTTTTTTTTAGCCATGTCCTGAAGTCAACCAGCATCAGATTTCTTTGATTGGATCTATTCCAAGCCACTGAGCAATGTTCTGCCTTTCAGACATCTGGCACTACGTGTAAACGACTGTGCGTAAACAGCCCAGTGATTGCTGCTCTGATTTTATGTTTTTGATCTTCACTCAGCATTTTACTAACTATAGAATGACTTAGAGGAGCATAAAAGCATGGAATCTTTCCATGCGAGTAGTGTATTGGAATGACACTGCACACAGCTATCTTGTCTTTAAATTCATAGTTAAAAACCAGTGTCATTCCTACAAAGTAAAAGGAAACAAACACGATATGCAAGTCCCCAGTGGAATGTAATGTAAAATACAGAGCTAATTTTAAAATATATTTTGTAATTGGAGGAGCTGAGTCATGGAACTTCACACGTAGATTATAACAAGTGATAAAATCTACTACGGCATCTAGTGCTGATTTACCACATGCCTATCTGTATAGAAGTCAGCTGTTTCCCTGATTATACTCCTTATAGCCAACTGGTGAAAGAAAAATCCAAAGTCAGTATTTACTTGGGATAGTTCCATTTGAGAATGAAACATTAGGGCTATAAATATCTCCACTCAACTCTGGAAGAAAAAAGTGTGCTTAATACGAGATTTATTTAAAGAATACAATGTTACAATTGTCTGC